CGTGTGCTCTTCCGATCTCCCCAAAACCCCAAAACCCCATTATGGTATTCATAGAAAATCCAAGTCTTACAAAAATTTATGAAATAAATCAATCTAATAATGAAATGAAATTTGTTATGGTATTCATAGGAAATCGTCTTCATCTCCCTTCCTTGTTTTCTTTCCTTTTTTTACTTTCTTGATAGTTGCTTCACTGCTTTCCTAATCTCCTGTAATAAGAGCATCCCTGATCTCAGACATGAAATTCTTTCTCTTTTGCTGAATTTCTTATTCTGATACTTTCTTATCTAGACTTAAAGCTGCAAGTCCTTTTTTGATTCTTTGATTTTTCTCCTCTTCTTCTTAGTTCACCCCTTTAGCTTTATCCTCCTATCCTTTGTGATAATCTTGAATTTCGCTCTATCTTTCTTATTACTTCTTTTGCAATAATTTATCCCTTTGAATCTTAAGTCTCTCTTGTCTCTCCTTAGAATCCTTTTCTCTCTTCTCTTTATCTTCTTAGTCCTCTTCAATGTTGATGTCATCAAATACGGAGACTGCTTATTTCTTTGATACTCCAATTGATGGAAGGCCCTCGCTTGCCAGTGTGGACTATTTCTTTTCCTCCTCGGGCTACTAATTTTGGATTTAAGGCTCCATAACCTAAGGATTTTGAGTTTCATGCAGTTTTTGCAATCTGGCATCTTCCAAAGCCTATGACATTGCTATTGCTTAGGCTAGTTCTGCCTCTTCTCTTTCTCTCTCAGCTTACTCCTCTAAATCATCATCTCCATCATCTTCATCCTCTTGTCTGAGATTTTTGATTGCTTCTTCATTAAGTTGCTTGTTTCTAGCAATCATCATTTTCTTGAACAAAAGGAAGTTTTCAACTGCTAGTAGTTAATTGATAATCGATTTGTGTATTTTATTTGATGACACCTCGCATGAGTTTACAAACACATCGGCTGGAATACCCAAGTCAGTGACGAATGCTTCTAATTTTTAATCTACTATCTTTTTAAATTTCTAATAGTTATAATTTAACTTAAAGTAGATTTACATTGTGTATATCTGTATATTCAAGCTTATTTTCCTCATCATCGTCAAAAACAATACAATACTCATCAATGAATTCAAGGATTGGATTTTTCCACACTGGAGATTTAAGATACTCAGTGATTGAGTCTAGGATCCATTCCTATGAATGAGTTTACATTTATTCTATTTTACCTATTCATCCTCTTCATAATAGTAGTACTCTTCCTCCTCGTGACCTGACATATTTTATTTTCTTTAAAGATATGAAATTTATTATATTAAGCTTAGAGGAGGTTAATTTATATTAGAATCTTAAGAAATATTAAGCTAGATCGTTTTATTCAGGGGTTTTGGGGTTTTGGGGTTTTGGGG